ATATTATAAAAAATATATTGTGACAATATTTTTAAAATGTTTTATAAATATATTTAAAAAATGCAAAAAATTAGATCGCTACGCGGGATTTGAACTCTGTACTACTAGCGCTTTGAACTCGTTCATGACCCATTGACCCACAGGTTGCTTCGAAAGAAATAGGATAAAAAAGACTATTTAAGGTAGTTCAAATGGTTATTTGTCTGTTAAGCAATTTTTCTTGTTTAAAAAAATTCAAAGTAAATACAATTCTATATTCAATTTAGATTAGATTCATATAATTTTTTTGAAAATCAGCGATCCCATCACCATGATTTCTCCTTGTAAGTTAGAAACTGACTATTATTGTTGATAATATAGAAATATATTCTAACTATAATAAAAAATCTTTTTAGGATTTTTAGTTTCACAGGACAATAATAAGATATAATTGCGCTGATAANCTTTTTAGGATTTTTAGTTTCACAGGACAATAATAAGATATAATTGCGCTGATAAAACTAAAAAAATTTTAACTCGATAATCTACTACTAATCTACTACTCATTTCATTGAACTTTTTACTATTTTTTTATTATTATTAGATATTAGTGCATTGATAATTGTGAATCATTTNGCATTGTTATTTACAATGGTGGTAAAGCTAATTGTTGCGAGTTCATAAATACACTAACTGACAATATAAAAAGAATATCTATTGATAGTCATACTAGCTAGCTATGCGTGTAATTGATAATAAACAATCCGTGACTGTGACAGCAATGTCATAAAAAAATACTGTAATTCATAAATTATTTTGCGCCTCAATATCCAATTTTAATCATTCGAGTTTTATATTATTTCAAACCCTAATGTTCAATAATTAAAACTATGCTACTTATATTATTCTTAACATAACTATTAATCGATATTTATCAAAGTTATCACTGGCTATTACTTATTATTAATCATGTTTAATATTTAATTTTAAAAAACAAGTACAACAATGACTTCGAATCTTGCAAACTGTAAAATTAGTCCCTTGGTTTTTTAGTCTAGTTTTTTTGGTTAACAGCCGCAAGTTTTATTTTATAACAGCATTTTATACGAAGTAGTATGTTCATGTTTTTAGTCATATTATTTATATTTTTTCCAATCGAAGTATCCACGAGTAGTTAAAGGATCTTTATCCGATTGAGATGGTGAAATCGTTAGAGGGAAATGACGACAAAAATAACGAAAAACTGCATTCACTGAATACTCCAACCAAGGGTATTTATTATACCAATTGTTTTGAAAATAACGTTGTTTATAAGAAATAACTGTACGAGAAAAACTGATAACTAGTTGCATAGCACCGTCGCAATTTGAGCTTATGTCAATATTAAATAGTTCATTTGAATTTTTTTGTTTTAAATGTAATTTTTGAAATTTAATTTCTGTGTCTGGTGTACATTGCTCGAGAAAATCATAATTTACCGACTTTAGTGTACCGGAAATCATGTAAAAAAAAAAAGGCACGGTACGGGATTAGAATCCGCGACCCAAGGCGTTTTATAGACAAACCTTACCACTTATGATTCAGTTCCCGATACACTTTCATTTAGGTTGATTACGTGATGTGCGGCTGAGGGAAACACGGTACCGTGTTACATTCATTTAGCGACAATACCGTAAGGTTGTCGCGACTGTGTTGCCTATTTAATGTGGAACGGCGTATCTATTACTTGTTATGGTAGAAATGGATGAGGGTTAGAAAATGCAACACTGGTTGATTTAAACTGTGCGTCGAGCCGTTTAATAAAAGAAGTAAAAAAAAAGAGAATAACAACACTAGTAAAAAACTCTAGTAGAACAAGAAAAAAAAGAAAGTAACAATAATACTTTAAGAACTGTCGACAGAATATTAATAGTTGATCGAGATTGCGATGGCGTTTTGATTGTTCGGTATACGACGTATCCAAAGTGATAGGTGTCACGAAGAAGACTAACTGGACGTATTATTGCGGCGGGGTATTCGACGCTAGGCATTTGTTGGACTTTACACCACGACGATAACGCGTGTGTGTAACGGTCCGGTTTACAGTGAAGCGGTGGCTTCATTTATTAAAAAATAAAAATTGTGATAACGAGACTATTTTATAGTTATTATACAATACAAAAATATTCATGTATACAAATAATACTTATTATACCTAGTCTACGAGTCCAACTATACAGAACGTAAAAATCAGAATCAGGTTTCGATACGCGAAATAAAAAATAAACAATTAGTCAATGACAAAAAGTTGTAAATTGATGTTGCTAATCTTGCGCTTATTAGTCAATGATAGTTAGTTTCAATATATATTATCTAGTAATATGTNTAATCTTGCGCTTATTAGTCAATGATAGTTAGTTTCAATATATATTATCTAGTAATATGTTATTACTCTATAATTTAATGTGTACTGAAATAATAAAAATGAAAGTTATTAGACAGTTTGCCGTGAAAACGGCAGTTTTGTTTAAAGTTGTTAAGTGGATGATCATTAATGTTTTTTTAGCAATCGACCTGTCAATGCCTGTAACATATCTAAAAATTAATTTTCATTTTATTTAACCAACCTTAATTAATATCATGCAGTATATTAACTTATATAAAAACTGTATATTTGATTAATATGATCAGAAAAATTAACAAAAACTAGTATATCAATTGCTATTCAGTTATTGTAAAAATTTTAAAATCTTGAATTATGTGTTATATCGACTTATGTAAGTATATTATTTAAGTTCATTTATTAATAACGTATTTTTTGTTCAACATAAAATGCAGTATGGTTTTATCGTTGTAGTTTGAATTGTTAAATAGTAAAACTTTTATCATTATTAAGTTGTAATTCATGTTTTCTTTCTTTTTTTTTGTAATAGACCATCAGATGATGCCGGAAAAAATAATCGTCGGACACGCTGGAATAAAATACAAATAAATTATAATAAATATGCTTTTTTTTTTTTTGTCTTCTAAAATGTGCCATTTTTTTTTAAATAAACATAATAAATAATAAACTGTTAATCGAAGTCATAAATAATTATAGTAATAATCATCATCAGACAGTGCCGGAAAAGTCTTCGGTCGCTGCTGGAATAAAAAAAAATTTGATAGAAATAATATAATACTCATAAAATTTAATAATTATCAAAATCTAAAATAATATTAATCGAGCAGCATTAAGATGCTAAAATAATTGATTTTAATAAGTAATACTATATAAGTGTAATACTATGTAAAATATTTAACATCATCAAACGTCGTCACGTGAGATAATGATGAATGTCAGGGTCACGTTTTTGTGATGTCGCGGTAGCCAATTGCTTCATCAGCAAGATCGTTAGGTATTATTACAGACCAAACTAGAGTTTCATATGTTAAGATAATAAAGTACGTTAAACCAAGAATAATCAGTATTTTTAAAACGTAAAAAATATTTCTATAATATGCCTACGAATTAAACCACCCCAAAATAATAGCGTATTAATAAATCATAAATGGCAAGCTAGTTAAAGAATTTTGTTGCGCTATAATAAAATGTAAAATTAATATTAATAGCAACTTGTAAGCAGTAAAGTATAGCATTTAATCCATAATTCTCATTTTAGAAATAATTGTGATCCATTAATATTGTAACCTCTTGTTACTATAATTTTTGTTTAAATACGATAAAGAATAAAATTTTTTAAAAACATTTATAATTAATTCAAGCACTTTTAACCATCTACTCTACAAGATGCATTGCATATTATGTTTTGATGTGTATTATTGTATTAATAATAGTTGTATAATGTATGTGTATTACAAATAGTTGACAAAATTATTGTCGCGCTAGTCAGCATTTATTTTTGATCCTTTATCCGATGACTGACAAAAGTAAAAATATAAATTCAAGAATTAATATAATTATTATTCAAGACCACGTCTAATTAAGATAGTAATTATATACAACAAAACTAATTGAGAGTAAAAATTATTTATATTAACAATTATAATTGAGTAAGCCATCAATAATCTAGAAGAGAAAAAAAAATAATGATTAATCTAAAACAACAATAAAATAAATAAAAATAGTAAAAATGTGGTTCAAATTTAAGTAAAATTGTGAAGTTGAGTTATTTTATTCTCCTGACCTGTTGTGAAATGGTTTTATTTGGTCAATATGGATCGGTAAATTTTCTAATCTGTTATTTTTTGGCATTTTTATAATGTATGTAAAAGGTGGATAAGCTTTTATAATTTCATTTGGTCCATTGTAACGATCTCGAAATTTAGTATTAGATGTTTCGTTTTTGACTAAAACTTTATCACCAATATTATATTGTGTGGTTTTCGACAAAGGATGCTTTTGTTTTACTTGTTCAGACGCTTGTTTAAGCAATCCAGGAACTAATTTTCTTATTTTCTTGATTTTTGAAATCTCTAAGAGTATGTTTTGATCTTCTGGTGGTATTAAAGATACTTTTGGACTCGAACTCATGGACTAAGTAGAATGGTGAGTAACCTGTAACTTTATGAATAGAACTGTTGTAAGCAAATACCATGTATGGTAGATAATCTGACCACAATTTTTCATTATCTTTAACATAATTAGAGATCTTATCAACTAAAGTTTAGTTTTGACACTCTACTTGGCCCTGAGATGTTGGATGATAGGTTACGCCGAATTTCTGATCTACATTTAATGATTCTAATAGTTGTTTAACTGTTTTACCTGTGAAATGTGTTCTATTGTCGCTTTTTATAGTACGCATACATCCAAAACGTAATATAAGATCTAAAAAAAAATGAACTGTAATACGCGCATTTGCATTTGCGTACGCTTTCGCTAAAACTTACTTATTTTGTCTGTCGCTACTAGAATGTATATATTAGATTTTGAATTACTAATTGGCCCAATATAGTCCAAGTATATTTCTTGCAAAATTTCCCCTTTTTCTAGTGGGTACATTCCTATTTTAGGCGGTTTGGGTTGTTTAAAAGGCTTACGTTTTTGACAATCTAAATACGAAAGAACATACGTTTTTATTTCTTTACGCATTTTAGCCAATAATACCGTAAACTTATTTTAAAATAAGTTTTATTAAGACCTTGGTATCCACCTAGCACCGAATCATGAATTTCGTGAATTACAATTTTTTAAATTTGCTAGGTAACGCGAGCACGAACTTAGAAGAATCTTTAAAACTATTTTTGTAGTATAATACATTGTTATCCTTGATAATATAATTTTTTGATTTATTAAGCCATGTAGTATTGCTTTCATTTGGATTTTTAATTGCAATTATGATATTTTGTAAATAATTATCCGAAGCTTGTTCTAATTGGATATTAATTGGTTGTACTAAATTTACGTTGAGTTGTTGCAATATTGTATGCACGCCTATTTTTGAAAGCTCTGTAAATTCAGAAAGTTTTGGTGGTTCGTCTATTATTTTACTAAGACAATCTGCAGCTTTGTTAAAAATTCCTTCTTTATATTTTATAGAATTATCAAAACCTGTTAGTTTAACTTTAAGTTTATTAACTATACGTGAATCAGTTTTAATATTTAATAAGCTTGTTAAGTTTTTGTGATCAGTCCAAATTTCGAAGTATTTTCCATGAACATAAGGACGAAAAACAATTAATGCGTGAAAAATTTCTAGACACTCTAAATCCATTGCGCTATATCGGCTCTCAGCTTTAGTTAGTTTTTTGGATGAATTTCATTGTTTTGATTACGTTGCTGGAGGATAGCACCTAAATCCAATTTAGAACCGTCAGTTAGAATTATAGTTTCTGCATTTTCATCGTAGTGAGCTAATACTGGCTGACTAGTTAATTCACTTTTCAGTTCAAGAAAAGCACGTTCATGTGTGTTTTCCCACTTGATGGGTGAACGTTTGTTATTGAGTTTACCTCTAGTTAGATCTGTTAAAGGTTTTGCGATGTTACTAAATTTTGAAATAAAACGTCTAAAATAATTAGCTAGACCTAAAAAACTGCGAAGTTGTTTAATCGTTTTAGGTTGTGGGAATTTTTGTGTAGTTTCTATTCCCTGTTGAGTGGGTCTTATTCCTTTCGTATCAATAATGTTGCCTAACACTTTTAATTCTTGATAGCCAAATCTACATTTAGATGGTTTTAGTTTTAAGTTATACTTCTTCTAAAAATCTGTAACGTGACAAAAAGTATCAGTTTATTTTTTTTTTGTCTATTTGTATATATAGATATTATTTGTGATTTTTTTGTGCGCGTGCGAGATAGTCAACTGTGTACTACTTCGGACCGGTTCATGGACGGCCTTTATTTGTACATTCACCCTGCTGCTTTCCTATCTTGAACGTCATTTGCACTGCTCACCCCCTACATTGTCGCCTTATGATATGTGATAATTCAACTTATATTTCAAATTATATTGATTTGTTCATTTTTGAAAAAGTTATAGCAGTTTTAAGTAAAAAAGATTAATCTTTAATAAATAAATCAATGTATTTTTTTTTTTTTTTGTAGCACAGCATTTTACAACAAATCGGGGGAACTAGCCTAAAATATTAGCTGTTATTTAGTATTACTAGGAAGAGATACATTATGTTAAAAACTAAGTTATAAATAATATTACAAAAAAACTTATAGAAGTGCTTTTGCTTTTTAGAGTTCAAGACAATTGATCGTTTATGTTGGGAAAATAATTTTACAAAATAACCAACAGGTTATGTTAAAACCTAGCATAATATCAATTAACAACAGAAAAGATATTTTTGTTGGGCATATCACAATAACATTATTGTAATACAGAATTGTATCGGTCACTACACTACGGCGAAGAATGGCTAGGAAATCAACTTACCAGATGGACTGTGCTATTAATAATATAGTTAAGACTCGATTTGAATCTATTATTATCATCTCTCAATTAGTGTGTCGTATATTATTATTGCTATCTTATTTGTTATATCATGTTTTTACTACATATTATTGTAGAGTTTTTTGAATCAAACAATATTTTCCTTACCAAAAATTAAAAATTTTTAATAGTTACCGAGAAAATGAGTGTCTTATCCTTATTGAATCACTCTGTATAAAGTTCAATTAAAAATGATACCCCAAGGGTAGTATTTTAGGTTTTTTTGTCTATCTCAAAAACATTAACTTTTAAGAAAAAGTTTATAGAAACTTACCGTTGAAACTATTGACTTGATTTATTTTATAAACCGTCCACTGCATAAAAAAGTTTTAACGCAAAAGTTTTTTTGAATTAAATTTTAATATATTTTTTATGTAACATATTTTACTATTCAAAAGGTATGACGATTATTCTATGAAATTATACGGTTTTCTCAATATCTTCATAAATTTAAGAGCTACAAAATTCGCTATGTTTATGGTCTTACAAAAAAGTCATTCACAAGATAAAGTTATTGTTTGTTATTTTTAAACGCTTTATTACATGTTTTTATGTGGTATACTTCAAAAGAAGATTCTAATTTTACAACCTGTCGTTTATTGTTTATGAATATTATGTTCAAGTATTTTTTTATATTTATAACTATAGTTTCTGCTTATACAACTTAAAAGTTGAGATTTTTATTATTGTTTTATAAAACGGCTTCTACATCTAAAATGGATCTTTGGGATACAAATAAAATTTATTTAGGGTACATGTCAAATCCAATCATCGGTATTGAGTTACCATGAAATAAACAAGGACTGTGTGTTATTTTTTATATCATACGTGTGGTTCATTTAAATATTCACTATAGTGCCACTTTAGTTTACAATGAAATTGAAATGTTCTGGCAAAAAGCTAGAATACCTATTAAAAAAAAAATGTCACTCCGTACAAAAAATTAAGTCATTGTACAATGAATGGAGAAAACTACAAAAACATGCGACTAGAAAGTCATCATTAGATACAAAAAATAAAGAGGAATTTGTTAATAAACTTGATGACTTATTTGATATTGCTCATTCTGATGCTTTAAACTTAATTAAAATGGAAGTTCATGAACAATTTTTATTGGCTCAGAAGGAAAAGGGGTGGGCAGGTTATATGTTAGGTGTCGATAATTTCAATGAAAAATATGAAATAAATCAACATATGAAAAATATAGATATAGTCCAAAGAAAAAGAAAAGCATATGATGAAATGAAAATGTTAGGCAATTATAAAAATGTCTTAATTAAAAAAACTAGTACTCCCCATCTTAGAGGTAAAAAGAATATTTTAACTGATAAACTGGCCGCTGCATTTGATAAGTGCAAAATTAGCGACAGAGACGCTGTTCATATATTAATAGCAACTGCAGAATCATTTGATCTCAATACATCTGAACTAATTATAAATAAGACCTCAATTAATAATTTTCGAAAACATTTTCGTAAAAATAGAATGAAAAATATATACAGTAATTTTGATATTTCTTAAGTCCGTGCATCATTCATTGGTATGGAAAACTTCTTCCTTCATTATCAGGAATACAACTAGTTGAAGGGTTACCAATAATTGTGTCATATAATAATGTAGAACAACTACTCGATGTGCCTGAAATTTCTTCTGGTTCGGGAAATGTCAAGCAGCAGCTTGTCTTTGCAGCAATTGAAAAATGGGGTTTAACTGAAAAAGTAAAATCATTATGTTATGATATAACAGCTTCTAATACAGGTAGACATAAAGGTACCTGCATATTATTGTAGCAAATTTTGCAACATGGGGTGTGATATTTTGTATTTACCATGTAGATATCACATTTTTGGAATTGTATTAAAAAGTGTTTTTGAAATCAAATTTAATTTAATTCATCATCTGCACCAGATGTTCCTATATTCAATAAATTTCAAAAGTCTTGGAAAAATATAAATAAAAAAAATTATTCAAGTCGAATGGATAATATTGTTTATTTAGAAAAATTAATTAGTTTTGATCAATTACAACCTCAAATAAATATCAATCTCGAGATGACTATAAGGAATTTATAGAACTGGTCATAATATTTTTTGGTGAAATATATTTGAATGGGATTTATTTTAAACTTCCTAGCTCAATTTATTGTTTTAAAAATATGTTTGTTTAGAGACCAATTTGTATTATCAATCAAAGAATTTAACAATATTTGTTTGTTGTGTATTTTTATTATAAGTGTATATATTAAACAATAATTTAGTTCACCTAATGCTATTTTAGCGTCAAATTAAGATTTACAATTTATAGAAAATATATTGAATATGAACAAATAGATATAGATTTTTCTAAAGTAGTTTTAAAAAAATGTCCGGTCACTTATGGTATTTAATATCTGAAACAGCAACATTGGCATTTTTTGATCAAAAATACCAAAATTAAAATGGTAAATTCATTTAATAATCACGAAGTAACTTCATGTACGCACAAACGTGTAGTTTTAGAATTCCATGAAATTTATGAATACAATAATAAAAATATTGAAGACTTCATTTCAACGGAATCAAACAATTTTTTTTGAAAAATTTGAAATTGAAACTGATTTTTTAGATTTAGATCCGTTGTTATGGAAAGACAACAATCAATATAGAAAAAGAAAAGAAATTGTAAATTATATGGCAGAGAGGGATGTGAAGCTCATCGAAGAATATAATAATATTTTAATAAAAGATGAAGCACAAAAACAATACCTACTACAGATTGTTAAGTAGTTCTTAGTACCTTATTATATGTAAGTCTGAAATTTTTACTATAATTTTACAAACTATTCAATATATCTTGTGAATAGTAAATGGTAGAAAAAAATGTTAAATAAAAAATATATAGAATATTTAATTAAAAAAAACTCTTGTGCTACACTATTTTACTGCATTTGACAGTTTATAAAATAAATCAAGTTAATAGTTTCAACGGTAAAAATAGAATATTTGCATTTTCATAGTTTTATAGGCTAAATAAAAATTTTTCGAAAATTTTTGTAGCTATTTTTTTTTATGGAAAAATATTATATCTACTAAAAAGTTTTTATAAACTTTTTTGTAAAAGTTATTGTTTTTCAGATAGACAAAAAAAACTAAAAAAATACGTTTTGGGGTATCATTTTTAACCCTGTTGGGGCATAACTTAGATTTGAACAATCATCACCAAATTTTGCTCAATTATTTTTTTTGGGTATTCGAACAATTCTAGGGGGTCACACTTGTAAATATTATTAAAAAAAAAATCTACCAATGTAGCTTACGGTCACTCTAGTAGTAAAGTGTTGCACCCAGATCTCCTGTAGCGGCTACTTGAGCAAACTTGGCAGCTTGCGCGAATGCTTCTTCGCCACTAGGCAGTGCGTCGTCTCCTTGTCAAGCGAAAAATTCTGGCGTGGCAGTCACTTCATCTTATGTCGGTATTACTTAAAAAAATAATTTTTGATAAACAAATTTTATTAATATGTATTAGTACATCGAAATGGGGCACCGCCAAAAGGTGAAATATTTATTTTTAAAAAATGCATAGTTGGTACTAGAAAAATGTTGTAATTATTGTTATAATATAATATTGTATAATTTTATGGATATTAAAAACATTTATTTATGTAAATCATCGAAATTATTAGTTATTATCATTATTATTATCTATTTGTCCTATTATTTTATCATAGTAAACCAAAGATATAATTATAGTATGTTGTTATTTGTACAGAATCAGTTGAATAATAATTATTACTATAGAAAGTTTATCTTAAGAACATTTAACTATATCATTTCTACCAATTCTATTTAAAACTTGGTAGAAATTTTATAAAAAAATTCTATTGAATTTATTTTAACTCTATTAAGTTGCCGTTTAATAAAAATTATTTTAAAAACTTTCATGAGTTTATGAGTTTTCTTTAATTATACAATATAATTTTAAAACAAATCTGATCAAATTTTCGATAAAGTTCTGTCTTAAAAAATATTTTAATAATTTTAAAGAGTTTCTTTAAACAATACAATTCTAGTATATTTTAATTTATATAATAATTTTATCAAATCCAGGTAGTAATACTTGGTTAAAAAAATTAATCTTATAGATTTATCAAATTTGAATTGTCCTCAAGACAAAATGAGTGCAATGTCAATGTGAATTTTATAATTGTAATTTATTTCTTTATTATTATTATTTTTTATGCATAATTGTAAAATTTGTATATTATACTTGAATAATTTTATTTAAATTTTAAATCGAACACACCCTCGTCAATAAGTGATGCTCCAATGCACTGATCCAATGCACTGATGTACATTAATTGGTTTTGTACTTAACAATTTAAAAATATGTAAAGCCATTTTCATTTATAAAATGCATTTAAATATATGCAAATCGTTTCATTCTTAGAAAAAATGTCCAACGTGATTTCCCCCTAGTGTCCTAACAGTTGGCTGAGCTGTACCTAAACGGGGCATCGCTGGCCCTATATAATTTATATTCCACTAAAAGGGCAGTTAGCGGTTTCTTAACCAAATAAATATAGACCTTCAACTAATAACGATAACAAGCATTTATTTCTATTTAATATTATTTAAATATAACCCTACTGGAACTCTAGAGATGTTGGTGGTATCCAAGTTAGGTGAGAGACGGCGGCGAGTATAC